TCTCTCTATCTCATTCTCTCTCTCAAATAAATAAATAAAATCTTTAAAAAAAAAAAAAGAAAAGAAAAGCAATTAAATTGATATCTGCTAGAATAAAATCTTAAAGCTAATTTGAAAAATAAACACAGTCAAATGAAAGAAGCAGATGGTAATGACATAAACCATATTCTGTGAATTGATTTTTTCTTCCAAGTGATAAGACATCTATAGATCTGAAGATGTAGAGAACTAATTTGAGTCCAGCATCTAGATCAGAAAATCAGAAGTGAAATTTTTCTTTAGTTGTCCTTAAGAATAAATTTTGTCAGGTTCTGAATATAGAATCTTAATTTTTCTGAAGGAATGGAATAGAATCATTGGTGTTCATTCATTCATTCAGTAAACATTTGCTGAGAGCCTACTATGTAACAGAGACTATAGTAAGTACTGGGGAAAATGAGATTGCCAAAAATAAGACCTCTGCTCCTAGAGCTAATGATGAAGGAAATGGCTTAGCCAACTAAATCTATACAGTGTTCTCTCCTGAGTACTGTGGCATACATAACCACATGGTGCTAACAGCAGAATAATTCACAATTACTTTTTTAATTTCAATGCCTTGGGCTAAAAACATGATATTAAATTGGAATGTCAGGCTCCAGTTGTTAAATAGGGTAAGATTTCTTTGCGATCATTTATGGGGCCCTTCCCAGGATCTCTGAATCCACAAAGTAAAGCTATCCCTCAATGTTCACAGAAAGCTTTCAAAAAAGATTCCAGTCCTCTGCTGATGCGGGAATGGCAAGAAAGAATTCTTAGAAGTCCACCATAAGGTCCCATACGTGTAGTATCATGTGAAAAATTAGTTATCCTGTGTTCCTCCAACATTGACAAGCCAATTCGTAACTAATGACTCATGGAGAAAAATCAGGACACGGGAAAATTGAGCTGCCAATAGCTTGTCAGGTGTCTTATTTAAGAAGATTAGGCAAGCCTATTTTTCCCTTGGACTATGTCAGCCCCATGCTCAGTTACATGGCTTGATGAGCAGGGAAACAGAGTGCAGGCTGGCTCTCAGTCCCATTTGAACCTGAGGCTGCACATTCCAATGCAGACAATATATGACCATCAGTCACAAGCAGAGGCCCTGCTGGAAGTTTCTTCGCAGAACAGTACCTCTCTCCCTGCTACACTCTCCTTCTGAACACCTGTCACTTTGTTATTCCCCCCCTCAGCAACGTGGGATTTCTAGCACCACATCTATTCTCCCTAGTTAGCCAACAGGATTATGCAAGAATTATATTCAGTTTCATAATGTTGAATATTCATTCATCATTCAGCAAATATTTATTGATAATTGTTCCTTGGATGAAATAATTAAGTATACACTTATGACAAATAAATGATAGGAAATGCATTGTCTCGTTGAACACAAGTAACCTCACATCCAGAAACTTCTAAAATCTATATTTCATTGAAACATCACTCTTTGTCATTGCATGTATCAGAAAAAATGAGGGAGTGAGTGATTATCCCAGTTCTATTTAAAGAAACATTTAATTTTTTTTT